GAGGGGCCAGGAGAAGAGGGAGGGTGGCGCAGTCAGGAAGACAGCGGCCAGGCCAGTATGCCATTGGTCACTGTGTGTGCACGTGTAAGAGAGAGAGAGAGAGAAAAAGAGAGTCTCGCTCTGTCACCTAGGCTGCGGTGCAGTGGTGTGATTGATTACAGCTCACTGCAGCTTTGAACCCCTGGGCCCTAGCGATCCTCCCTCCTCAGCCTCTCAAAGCACTGGGATTACAGGAGTGATCCACGCCCGGTCAGTCACAGTGTGTTTAAAGATGAATCCTAACAAGCGTCCCTCACATTGCTGGTGGATGGAGTATAAATTGGCACCACCTCTCTGCAGAGCAGTCTGGCTCTAGCTGTCAAAATTACAAAGGTGCACACACTCTGACCCAGAAGTACCACTTAGAAAATCTACCCCACAGATATAATCACTCTGCGCAGTAAGATCTCAGAACAAAGACACTGCAGCATAATTTGTAAGAGCAGAAGATTAACATAATCTAAATGTCCATCAATAAGGGATTGGTTAAGCTCATTAGGGTTCATCCATACAGTACTGCAAAGTGAAGAAGGATATGTATAATATCCTACAATCTGTAAAAAAAGGGAAGCACAGAGATACATCTACTTGCATCTATATGCGTGAAATATTTCAGGGAAAAAATGTAAGAAACAGGTAACACAGGTTGCCTTCAGAGAGGGAAACCCTGAATGGTGAGGAGACAGCACGGAGGAAGGCTAGTCAAACTTTGTGCCTTCTGTGCTAGAATCATTACCTATTCAATATTTTTTGAAATTTCGTATCTTTTTAAATTAGCCTATGGAGTCCTCTGGAATAGGTATGCTGTATACAACACGTTCTCTCTTTCACCTGACCAACAACCTTGTAAGAATCCCTTTCTCCCACCACCTACCTCCTGGGGAACAGGAACTTATAAAGGCAATGATTGCAAACCATCGGACTGGCAAGCACGAATTCAGACCCACCCACACCATGGCAATAAGTTCCAATACTAAACACAAACCCACAGAATCAAAAACAAAGCAACTGAACAGCAACAAAAAAGATCCTTGGTTTCTACTACTCCCCCCTACCCTGGGAAGCCAGC